CCTTTCAATATTGGAGCTACTCCTGGGATCTGATCGACCCTCGAATTATAAGTTTTCACCTTCTTGTCAATTGCCTCTATCTTATCTTCACCAGACTCCACCCACTTTGTTAGCGCTTCAAGCATTTTCATCACCTAGAAAGTTTCTCCGGGTCCAAACTCATCCGGTTCCACAACAATTCGTTCATCTCTCCAAGCGTTTTCTCTAACCTGCTCGAGTTTGGTCATGTTTGGGCATGATTTAAATTTGTAGTTGTGCTATTGCTACTTGCTGAGCTTGTAGTATTTCAAAAATCAATTGTAAGCTAACTCCATCACCTTCCCCTTCGGGTGCTTCCCGAGCCGATGGCTGGGGTGCCCCGCGAATGCTATTTTTGGGATCAGTTGGCAGGTTGATGTTGATGGCAACTTGTAAGTTAGCATCGATCGGATCCGCGATTGGAACACCATTAGGATCAATAGGGGTACGTCACTGCTTGGTACCACGTTATTGTTTTCAACGTGGTGGCCTGACTCGGCATCAACGTTCAAGTGAGCAGACTGAGAATTTGACATTTAAAATAAACTCGAAATCAAAATTAAAAGAGCAAGCATAAAATAGGGTGTATTATGGAGATTCGTATTAAATCACCACTATTATCCTTAGCCCCATGGTGAGCACCAAACTGTTTACCCTTAAAATGAGTAACAATTGAATTTATACGCAGTTTAAAAGTTATGTGATTTAATTTAACACGAATGATCTAAGAACAATAAATAATTGAATTAAAGGAAAACAAAGCGATCAAACCAAATGTGATGGATGATTAAGTCTAACTTTACGATAGACGTTGGAAATCGGTTTCGATCCAGCCCTCGGAACGGGCTTGGTCGCAATTCAATAAACAAGGAGCTGAAGAACACTTTAAATAATAACTAAAGAACAAAAATTAACTTTATTGCTTTGGTATGCCAACAATGGTCCTCAAAATAAAAAAGTTCCCCCCTTTATGTAGTAGGAGAGTTTCAGTCTTAGTACAAGTCTAAGTAAGGTAAAAAATCTTTTTCTTCCAGTAAACGTTGATATGCAGTTGATATCGGGGGAGATTTGCGCCGTAATATCCTATTAAGGATGGATATTTCGGCCTCTCGATTGTCCTGTCTAACCGTTTCTCCCTTATCCTCGGTTCTCCACTTTGCTATAGCTCAATGCTTGGCCGAGTCCGGTTTCAAGCGCACCATTCGTCCTCTCTGGGTTCTGGTCCCTGGAAGCCTTCGTCTTTACACATCGGGTCGGGCTGTACTCTCTTTTTCTTAATGACTTTATCCCCGATTTTACCCGCACACACTCACAAAATAGAAAGTAAAAAAAAAAAGGAAAAAAAGGTACATTTATATATTATTGCTCTCCCTTTTTCTTTTTTTGTTTTCCATTTGGTTGTCCGCTACGCCTCATGTAAGGCTCGTTAAAAAAGTGAAGCGCTCCTAACCATGATTTCTTTTTTATTCTCAATACTCGAATCCGAGATCTTGGGTTAATGGGGAGGAATCGAATTCATCCACCAAAACCATTGGTGATTTGGTTTTCTCTTCCATAATTGCATATGTAGTATGTTTTACCGGAAAAGTAAAGAAAATTGAAAAAGACTAGCTAGTACCTTGCCTGCTGAAGTAGATTAAAAGGTCAATATTGTCAAGTGGGAATGCATAACTAGATATAATATAGTATCTCTCAATAACTACTTGAAGAACCAACAAAAAGTTGAAAAAGTCAACGATTGTTTTTAATCGAGCATAGCAAGTAACAATTTCTTTTTTTTTTAATCGATTTAAATCAAGCATAGCAACTAACAAAACGTTTGATACTGACTTTCGTTTTGCTAACTACATATTCAACGCAAGCTTTAATTGAAGGGCTTCGTCTTTGATGTCATCACTACTCTTAGTCAAAACACGTAGTACTTATTATTTGATGATATAAAATCATACCACTTCTTCCAATAAGCACTTGCCTATTTTCTTGAATTGAAGTTAGAAGAGTAAATAGGATTTTCTTTTCTTTGTAAGATAAATACTACGTAGATAATCACCATTGTACATATAGGTGGACCCACAATTTTAATGCAATTGGAACATCAGGGTGTTAAGTTATTTAAATTAATTATTTTCAAGGTATATACATATACATATACAAGATTCTGCCGAAGTTTATAGGTCTGGTAACCCCTCAATGTTATACACAAGTCCGCCTCTGATTTGATTGTAATATATAACTGCACGGAATAGTAATTATTTTTCTTTTTCTCTTTAATATAAGTAAAGAAAAAATATAACAATATAAAACTAGTGGATACACAAGATTAAATATTTTTTGTTAATACAATATAATGACACTATATATATACCTATGTATACTAAAATATAACAGTCACCGGAAAGGTAAACTTCCGTCCAATAGACTCTAATTAGCATATAAAATAATAGGAGTATTTTTTTTTTTTTAAAGTTTCTCAGATTACCCATTTTAAACACCCAACCCAATTATTTTCCCTTTTGAGTACGTTTTCGGCATGTCAATTTCTTTAGTTTTAATTATTTGACCTCATTTTAGTTGGTCTATAAAGCAATTTCATAGACTTTTCAAGAAATTTAATTTCGTATCAAGTTGTTGACTAGCTGCATATGGTAGCTGTACAATTGGTGTTGTTAACCTAACCCTACTAATACAAATAGCCGTAGTGGCCAGCCAATGTCCCATTCAATTCAATACAACTCCTTCTAGTAGTATTATACTCCCTCCGTTTTAATTTATGTGAACCCATTTGACTGGACATGAAGTTTAAGAAAAAATAGAAGACTTTTGAACTTGTTGTGTGACTATAAATCATTGCATAAAAGTAAATTGTTTCCAAATAAGAAAAGGGGTCATTCTTTTTTGCACGAACTAAAAAGGAAATATGTTCACATAAATTGAAATGGAGGGAGTAATAAAAATTTAGACAATAAATTCCAATAACTACATAACGAACCCACAATGACTTTACTTATTGTCGACACTATGATTTTTAAATTCAAATGTACGAACAAGAAGATGGACTAACCTTTTAGACATGACTTTCAAATAAAGACCAGTATTACATATATAGACTTCCTATAAATGTTCATACCTCACCTAATCCTTTATAACCCTATCCAATAGTGATACATGTATAGCAGACCAGTAATAGTATTGTTCCCATAGGGGCGGAGCTAGACTGTGAACGGGTTCGATCGAACTCACTAACTTTGGTTCCAACTCTTGTATTTGTTTCTAAAATTCATTGAATATGTATAAATCATTAATTTAGAACCCAGTAACTTAAAATGATTAGAATCCCGAACCCATAAGCTTTAAATTCTTGCTCCGCCTCTGCCTATATGTGTACATACTGAACTAATCCTTTATAATCCGAGATGGAGTCATGATTTGAAACTTACGGATACATGATTTTAATCCTTTTGAGTTATTAGGTGTTAATTAATAATTTGTACCTATTAAATACTTTTTTAAAAATGAATACAAAGTCTGAATTACCAAAAATACTAAGTTCTGCCGAATCCGTTTCCAACACTTTACCCTATCAATTAGTGATACATATCGTGGTGTGACTTTGAATATAATCGGCACCCACAGACGACAAATTTTGTAGAATTTAGAATTAATCGGGTTTAGAATATTGTATTTTTATAATATGTATATATTATTAATATTTTACATATTCCTTAAGAAAAATAGTCAATAGTCTTAAGTCATAAAACTAGTTGTCTTATTACTCTTTATTTCTTATTAAACGTCTCACTTTGTTAATATACGACTAGTTGAAACAATTGGCTTTTATATATATATATATATACATATATATATATACCACTACTCCAAGGCTCACCCCAGACACATATTTTGGAATCTTATATATTTTCTATATTTTTTCTTCTTATAATTATCCTTGTCATAACTTTGAGTTGTGTTTACTGTATTTCTGCGAAAACTCATATCATTTTGTTTTGTCTCACTTTGTTAATATACGACTAGTTGAAACAATTGGCGTAATTATATATATATATAATTTCTGATTTTTCTAATACTTCAAATATTAGTCAGTCATCCCTTAGATTTGTACCGAAGAAATAGTAGCAGAAGAAGTCTATTATTACGGAGATAATAACTGTTTTTTTTTTGAGTTCCCATTTGGTTTCGTGTTAACTTACAATATGTCGTCATTACAAGAAAGGTCAACTAATCAACGTCAAACTTCCCAACTACGTCTAAACCCTATAAATAACTAACCCCATAAAAATCCTCAATTTCATTCCTCTCATATCCTACAATCAAAACCAGCTACAAACAACTCCTTTTTTCACCCTCCAAATTAAAAAGAAAAAAAAGTGTAACATTTCTTAATATTTCAAGAAAACATGGTGTTTCTACCAACAAAAAGAGAAAGAGAAGAAGAAGATTTCCACAGCATAAAAACCATGGCAAATTGCTTGATGTTATTCTCAAACCAATCAAATGATTATCATTTTGACAATATTATGAAGTACAACAACTCAACAACTAATCGAGTTTTCGAGTGCAAGACTTGCAATCGCCAGTTTTCATCTTTTCAAGCATTAGGTGGCCATAGGGCAAGTCACAAGAAGCCAAGATTAAATATGAGAGAATTGAATAACTTGCAATTATTTCAGTTACCTAATATTAAACCTAAAACACATGAGTGTTCCATTTGTGGGCTTGAGTTTGCCTTAGGACAAGCTTTAGGAGGGCATATGAGAAGACATAGAGTTGTAATAACAACAACAACGACGACGACGACGACGGCGGAGGCTCAGTCTCAAACAAGTTGGACTCGGCTAAATGAATTCTCAAGGCATCAAGCTTTGATGAATAATGAAAATCTTGATCAAGCTCCTAATCGCCGAGTTCCTGTTGTTAAGAAATTGAATGGTCAGAGAGTTTTGTGTTTGGATTTGAACTTGACGCCATTGGAAAATGATCACTTAGAGTTTAATTTAGGTGCAGATTGTTTTTTATGATTGAACTTTCAATTTTCTTCTGATCTTCTTATGGGTATTGTGTTTATTTATCTGTTTGGTTGGTGTAAATTGTTCTTCCTACATATATTCCTTCAATTTTTCCCCTGCTCATTTTGGTTCCTTTCCTATATATGATATGGAGATATATTTGAAACACAATACAATTCTGTGTAGAGGTCCTGTTAAGCTGGATAAAATGTTGTATCCTCTTTTTAGATGTGGATTTTCGGGCTTTTCTATACGATGATACGATATGTCAACTATTAGTAAATAGAATGAATAGCTCTATTCATGTACATGTATAGGGTGTTTACACTAAACCAGCTTAATTTATATATCATAATAAAGTTCCAATTTGTTTTATATGGGTAAACAATGTCCTCCTACTTCATGGTCCAGAAGAATTAACCTAAATAACAACTCACCCAACCGCTTAAATTAAAAAAAAAATAAATATATATATATATATATATATATATATATAAAAATGGTGTAGTAAGAATCCTATGTAGTTTTTCTTTGTGCCTTGGTTCTTTTTCATGGGATGTAGTTTGAATCGGGTAGTAGTTTTTTTATTTTTAGAGTATTAGGATGTAGGAAATAGAAGTAGAAAGAATGAGGAGATTCCTAGGCGTCTTTTGACTTGTTTGATAGTAGAATATTTATCCTTTGGCATGTGTGGTATCTTTCCTATATTTTGAAATTGCTTATGACACCTTGATAAATTGGATAGCATATCTTGTGACGCCTATGTCTCATTTTCTTGACTTATGTTCACTTTTTGCTTAATGCTTAATATCTTGTGGCTTCGTGGATACTTGCTTTGGTTTGACAATTGGAATGAGACATGTCCTTAGTGAGTTATGTGCCATGTGTGAAGTGGGATTTTTTTATAGTCCATGTCAGTGCATTTGTATCTAGAACTTGCCCGGCATGTGAGTTAAAACGAAATCCTAGGTTTTGCTCGGTTTGAAGATTATTTTAGGCTTTCTTTGATCTTGTTGAGCTTATTGCTTATCATAAATAAATTTATCCTTAGTTAGACTTTTTTGAGCATATAAACTTTTTATTTGACACCTTCATTACGAGCCTATACCCCTTTTATTTTTAATTGACATTGTTTTGATCTTCTTACCTCTTAAAGCACTTAATTTGTAAAATGAACGCTAGAAGTAAGGAGAGAACTTGGGTGGCTTTTGAGTGGAACCAATGAGAGGAAGAAAGGTGAACTTATATTGTAAGGAATACACCACTAGGGAAAATTATAGAAGAGAAAAATTGTTGTTGAAAAAAGACAAAAAGAAAAATAATTTCTTTTTGTCTTTTTTCAACAACAATTTTTCTCTTCTATAATTTCCCCTAGTGGTGTATATAGTAGAAGAAATAAGCACATGATCTTGTCCTTACTAGTAAGTGTGAGTTAAAGTCGTGCTTAAAGAAAAAGAAAGTATTGTTGGGATGATATTGTTTGTGGAGTTAAAATTGAGTTGAATATATATGTTGATACCCAATTTTGCCCTCATATTTTTATAAATATCATATATACTTTTAAAATATCATTTTTGCATCATTTCTCAATTTACAAGAGTCATATAAGTATTCTATATAATTTTTCATAAAATTTAAGGCTTTAAAAGTAATTTTCTTGCATTTAAATTGTTCAAATATTTATTAATTACCCTTTCAAATTATTTTGTGATGACTTAATCATCCAAATTTATTATTTACACCCACATATATCTTTTATAATATTTTTGCTTCATTTCATATAATTACATTTATATTTTTAGCTATTTATACAATATTTGCAATAATAGCCTGTATTCTATATACAATTGCATTATTTACATTGTTACACTAAAATAGCATTCTTTATTTTTATAATATTAAGCTATTATTTTTAATTATTTTACTGCATAAATAATATTTTTATTATTTTATTAATCACTTTTATAAATTATTTTAAATATTTTTTGCATACTTAATTTCATAGCCCAATTCCAAGCCAATTTTCGAACCCAAATACCAGCCCAGACCTCAAAAGACCTTGGCCCAATCTCCCCTGGCCCAAAAAGCGGCCCCTTTATTCCAACCCGGCCGGGACCCGTCTTCTCGACCCGCCCCGTTCATCTTTTAAATCTTGGTCGTTGATCTCTCAAGATCAATGGCCGTCGCTCACCCAAAGCCCTTTTAATTAACCAAGCCCGGAAACCCTACCTCATTTCCCACCTAACAGCCACCCCCAAACCCTATCAAATGTTCTCTCATCTCTGAAAGAAACCCTAGCGGTCGCCTTCCCCAATGTTCTCCAAATCCGATCTAGTCACGGATTTCCTCTATGATTCACTTACCTTTTATGGATTATCTCATTGTTTCTTATAAGATTATAGTATTACATAGTACTGACCCAATTTTTGAAAAGTACCAATCTCCCAAATCAAGTGCCATCGCCTTCAATCTTCGATATTTTGACGATATTTCGTCTGTATACACTCACTACAAGGCCATATGGGTTCGATTCAGTGAGACATTTTACTATTTTTGTTCTCCGTCTTGAACTAGGCTTTGCCTGATTTCTCCTAAATTGATTCTGAATTGATTTCGCATGCTATTCTTTCCTTTTTGTGTTTAATCGACTATTTTTTCTTGTTTGTGTGTTTAATTTTGCTACTATATAAACCTATTCCCAACTCTCCTAAAATAGACCTTAACTACTGCTATTACTCTCTCACTCTCACTCGTTCTACTATTGTAAATTTTGAGATCTTAGCCGGCTGAAAGCCAAGGCCCCGGAAATTCGATTGTTGCTCTTTTCTCAGTGCGAGCACTGCTTGGGGTTCACTTGAAACCCTTTGGAACTATGACGCATTGGGATTTTGGGAGTCCTATTGTTCTTTCTCTACTACTTCTGACTGAACTACTCTTGGCATTTGATTTTTCCTTTACTTGCTCGTTAATTTGCAACTGGTGAGTGCCTTGACTCTTGCAATTCTATGCTCTTTTACTTGTGTTCATACTCTGTATATCCATGTTGTTCGAATTTTTGTGAACCGCTATGATTTCAGTGTTGTGTTGTCTTTGTTTGCAATCCTATCCGCCTTGAAGTTAGTCTGCAGTCCTCTATTTTCTGGCATCCAAACCTGCCTAAATTCGATACTTTTATATCTGCTCATTACGTGTGACTTTTGATCATCTTAAACCTACTTAGTCTACTATGTTTTTGTATATATGAGTTTCCTATATTTGTTGCTTGCCCATCCTCGTGCCTTGCTAAAACTCCTAGGAAACTAATTCATGCCCAGAATTTGTTCGAATGTACTTATTTCTGCTAAGTCTTTCATGTACAATCTTCTACTTTCTTGAGATCAATCTGTGATCATGTGAATTCCATATGCCAATACTGTTTCAATTCCCAGGCAAAACTTTTTCTCACCTATTTGTGAACTTTGATGTTGTGTTATTATTATGGGCTCACTGATTATTTAAGACACCTATGGTAAGTTCCAAAATATATTTAGCTTGTTCTTCCCATGTGTAGTCAACTAGAATAAATCCTGGCCCTCGTCATGTGATGCATATTTGCCATGTTAACTTGGAAGTTGGCTCATTTTCATCTGCCATGAGTTCTTACATTTTTTTAAGATTTAGAACCTCTGTGTCATGACTAATACCCAGCATGTTAGGTTCTTCATGCTCAAGTTGTTTGTTATATTGTTTATGATCATATTAGGTCCATGTTAGAGATTTTCATAAGAAAAGTGCTATCCTCTTTGGCTGTGATTCTGCTAGACTTTCATAATTAGGACTCTTGTATCTAAAGTCTCTTTCAGGCTGATATGGATCGTGCTTCTCTTTAAAATTCTACTTGGAATGTTTTGCTGTCTTACAGTGTTTAATCTTGTCACTGTAAACCTGTTTGTCCTACTAACATGAACTTGCTTCATATGTGTCTTGTGTGCCTTTCAATTTAGTATAATCTTGTTTATGTGTCTTGGGCTCTTGGCTAGAGCTATTGATGGCTACAGCTTTAGGAACTAAGTGTTTAAAATATTCCATGAGTATTTCGTCACTTGTATAATCTGGCATCCTTTTGGGTAAGTAAGTTATTCATTGAGCCTGGGATTGACCCATGTGTGTTGTTAGACTATTTATTTCAGATATTTATTATTATTCTACATTGATAGGCTTACCTAGTCTTAGAGACTAGGTGCCATCACGACATCCTATAGAGGGAATTTGGGGTCGTGACACGATCCTTCCCAAAGAAACCCAAATTTGATGTGCAAGTATCATAGCGCGCATGGTCATAAGACCGAAGATTGCAGGCAATTAAGGGAGGTGGTAGCCCGTCTATTCAATGAGGGCCACCTTCTAGAGTTCCTCAACGATCGAGCCAAGAATTATTTCAGAGAAAGGGACGCCACCAGGAAAAATGAACAGGAGGAAACATGTCAGTCATATGATCGTCGGTGGGGTCGACATTCCACAGGGACCCATATTCAAACGCACTAAGGTATCAATCGCTAGGGAAAAACAAACCTGAGATTATGTGCCCGAAGGCACTTTATCATTCAACAACGAAGAAGCATAAGGTATTTCTCAGCCCCACAACGACTCTCTGATAATTTCTATCTTATTGAATAAAGTTCAAGTTAAGTTATAGGAACTGGATTCAAGTGTGCTCTAGTTGTCCTGTGAGCTTGTGGCTTGGGCTTACTGTTTGTCCTGAAAAGGCCTGGGGATACCTTTGGGTTATTTTTGCAATGGGCATGTAATTACTTTAGTGGGCTTATATTTGCTTCAGTCTGTATTTTGTCATATTTAAGTTTGTATTATCTCATTTGGCCCTGTAATGACTTGTAATAACAAACAATGGGAAAATTAGTAAAAAGGGGAGGGTGGGATATTCTAATGCTCACACGAACGGGTAGAAAACATGCCTATAGGATTTAATTGCCTTGTTTGATATTTGTTTTAACATGCTTTGATTCTACATACTAACAGAAATCATGTCTATAGGAATCACGCACACACTTCACTTGACTTGTCTAACACTGGTAGATCATCCAAAACATGTCAGCTTAAGTAATTGCTACACATGTTTCGATGTCTAATACTGAATGCTTGTAGACAACATGTTTATATGGATCGAACGTCTTGTTTAATTATTAGA